ACCCCCAACCCCCACGCCAGAGAAAGTGAGTGTGTGTGTGTGTGTGTGTGTGTGTGTGTGTGTGTGTGTGTGTGTGCAGGTGTGTGCAGGTGTGTGTGTGTGCGTGCGTGCGTGCGTGTGTGTTCATGTGCGTGTGTGTGTGGCATGCTGCAACACACTCCCTCTCACACACACACATTTGTCTTGGCCAATCCCGCTGTGCAGCCGCTCTCTGCATGAGGAAACGTCTGCATGGAGTCACAGGGGGATGGAGTGTGTGAGTGTGTGTGTTTGGCTCTGACGCAGGAAAAGAAGTTCCTCTTCAAGTGGAGAGTGTTACCAGAGTTTGCAGTGTGTGTGCGTGTGTGCGTGCGTGTGTGTGTGTGTGTGTGTTGAGAAGGGTGGTACAGGCTGCTCCTTTAGTATGCAGAGCAGGTGTGTCTGCAGAGGCTCAGAGCAGGGAGGAGGAAGAGAAGGGGGGACATGAAGAAGAGGAAGATCAGGACCAGACTGTTGTGATTTCTGACAGTCCAGCTTAGAAAACACAACCTTTTCATTCAGATTCATAAGATATGACAGTTTGGATGTTTTTAACAGTTAGCAGTGAAGCCCCGCCCCCTTTCTACTAGATCCCACCTGATTGGCTGAAAGAAGCTTCTCTCTGTTGCTGACAGAGCAACTTTAAGAAAATAGTCTGAATGATTTATGTTCTTAATCTTTGACCTGCTTACAGATTTCTAATCTCAATGTGATAGACCTGTTTTCCCTTTGATCTCAAAGTTTAAACACAACAAACCTCCTGGTGCCAAGCTTTATGATCTATAACAGAAGCAGCTCTAAGAACATAACGAATATGAAATATTTCCCTGTCTCTCCGGTTGTGAGTGGTCATGAGTGTTTTGCATCAGGAACATGGCAGTCCATGTAAAACAACCTAGCATCTGTTAGCAGCTTAGCGTGCGGCTACCTTAGCTAAAGCTACATCCTGGATGTGAACACTTTAGAGAATGCAGGTTCTTACCTGTCTGAAAACTAACCTGTAATGAATTCAGCCTTCTTGTTATCTGCTGAACGTCCCGCTCTCTCTCGCTTGTCAGCAGCCTGAACAAACCGCTAAGTGAGCTCTGTACCTGAACCTAAATGCCTCGTCATGTTCACACTGAGGTCGCTGGTGCATTCACAGATTCCCATAACATGGGATTTTTACATTTCAGATCGTCTCGTTCCCATCAGTGGCTGATCCAGGAAAACGTTGGTATCTGCATCAGACCGGACATGTCTACAGCTGTTATGGACAGTTTCATGTTTTCTGTCTTGATGTTTATTTTGTGATTATTATTGAATGATCACCTGAACACAGCAGTGGTAGATTAGCTCACTTAATCGCCTTCTCTACTGACAATCTGTGTGTAGGTCGCCTTATTTTAACTGAACTGAAACACATCGAATTCTGCAGCACATCCACATTAAGGTTGTCAAAGTCAAACTAGCGTAACTCATCTACTTCCATCTCCCTCAATTCAATTAAAACTTTTCACGGACCTCAGTGTCTAGTTGTTGAAGTGTTGAAATTACGTATAATTTTAAGATTTAGCGTATTATGTTGACAACTTGACAGCTAAAACCAATGGTAATCATCATTGATGAGAAGTTTTTTTGGGATTTTGTGCGCATAATGCCACACTGCAACGTGTCTATACTATGCAAACTGATGCTCAGGCTCACTGATTTTGGGTAGAATGTCTCAGAAACAACCAGAACCGGCTGATGTTTCTAATATTACAGGATTATTAAGACATAATAACTGGAGAACCGTCTAAAGTTTCTCGTTGCTGAGAAAACTAACAATTTCCCAAAATCCCCCTACTGCCCTGCCGCTTTCCTGGGACCCATATAAAACCAGGACCAGATCGTCAGGAACGGATCGTCAGCTCCTCTGATATGAACCTGTTCTCAGGGGACGTCCACAGTTCGGTGGTTGTCGCCTAACACTTTCTGTTTCTGTTCAGCCTCTCAGTGTCTCTAAGCTAACCTGATGGAGCACAGGAAGCTCCTCCCCCTCGTTGCTGATGTAATGACCTTGTACCTGTGACATGTCTCTCATTGTCTTCTGATCTGCTGCCTATTGTATTCGTAGACCCAGCTAATAATTGCGGCATAGCTTTCTGCTTCGTAGTTCATCAGGAATGACTGGGTGTGTCCCTCAGGGCCAAACATAGGTGCCACCTTTGGACTGACGTGTGTGTGTGTGTGTGTGTGTGTGTGTGTATGTGTGGGCGTGGGTATATAGACTGTGCTATGCTCAGATCTGTAGCTGAGTGCAGCACCTGACTTGGACTGACTTGGAGGCGACTTATTAGTGTAAGAAGTTTAAACATCTCTGGTGAGACTAAAATCCTTACCAACAGGAAGAAGAAGTGAAACTAGCCAGCATGGGGACGATCTGTCTCTAGTCCACTGTTGCTGCTGTTTCCGTGGCAACAAAATCAGCCACTTCAGCAGAAAAATGACTCAAATATGTTTTTATCATTACAGAAGAAAAAAACTCAATATTGCTTTGATGCATTTAAAGTCAGAAAGACTGGATTGATAATTGTAGTGGTGATAAACATCATGATGAAACTTGTTTGCCCTTTGACCTCAGAGAGCGGAGGGAAAGGTTTGGGTTTTTGGTTCGGGTCCAGTTTGTTCTGCGATAATCAGCTTTTTTCATTAAAATAAATTACAAATATTTTTAAAAACTGACTTTTGTTCCAATCATTTGTTCTGAGTTGACCTGAATTCAGTGGAAAATAATAGAAACACAAACAAGATGGCGGTTCTGTGTGCGCTGATGTCACACTGAACTCTGGAAACCCAATAGAGGATTTCTGGGTTTTCTGGAGGATCTGATTGGATGGTTCTGGGTCTGTAATGAGTTCTGATCTCTGCTGCTGTTTGGGATTCTAAACCTGTTCCTGTTTCTCTGCAGAGTGGCAACATGTTTACTTCCTGGTTTCCATGGTGATCAGAGGGAGCATGCTTGTCCACGCCTGGATCTAAGCTCAGCGTTCGTCTCCTGCAGCCGCCTCCAGAGGGGAGAAGACCTAGCAGTCCAGAACCGCGACCCGCCAGAACCGACCGCACCCAGAACCCGTCAGCCAGCCCAGACAGAGGAGGAGCGCCAGTGGCACCGACATGGCCAACAACACAGCCGACCACCCTCCGGGGAACTCAGTGGCCGAGGGCGGCCATGACGGTGACTTCGGAATCAGCATGCAGGAGCTGATGGGCCTGATGGAGCTGCGGAGCGCCGAGGCTGTCGGAAAGATCCAGGACGGTCACGGAGATGTGCAGAACATCTGCCGCAAGCTCAAAACCTCGCCCATCGAAGGTAGGAACCAGAACCAGAACCGGTTCTGTGGGCTGGATCCAGAGGCTGGACTGGAAGTCGTGGTCTGAGACTCGAGTCCTGGTTCCAGTTTCTGTCTGACGTGAAGAAACAGGAAGCTGAACCATTTTTACTCCAAACTGGTTCAGTGGGAAAGCAGGACTAGATTATTATGGGATGTTAGCATCTCCTAGTAACATGTAGCTTCATAATAAAATGGATTATTATAGGATGTTGGCATATCCTAGCAACCAGTAGCTTCTTGATAATTTCAGAACCAAATAAACTGACCTTCTCCTGTAACTCAGCAAAGGAGTAGAACCTGGGTTGGTTCTGATTGGTCCTCTTTGTTCTGGACCCAGACCGGTTCTACTTGTGGGTGAGTCTGCTGCTGGCGTGAGCCGGGAAGGGAGGCGATGACAGAACCAGACCTGGAGAGCAGCAGCGTTCTGCTGACCTGCAGGTCCGGTTTAACGACCAGCAGAACCGTCTATGGTTCTGGTTCAGAAACGGATTGATACCGACTCACCAAGCTCCCAGATGTTCTGACATGTTCAGAGGAAACGGACCTGACCCCAGAGCACCAGATTGTGTCAGAGTAGAAAATGGCCGACATGTTGCTGTTTACTCCTCCCTCCTTCAGCCTTTGATCCCTTGGTTTGTCTCTGTGTGTGTGTGTGTGTGTGTGTGTGCGTGTGTGTGTGCGTGTGTGTGTGTGTGTGTTTCCATGGGTCCATTCCAGGATTGAAATTAGTTCCAGCCCGTTCCCCTAATGGCTCCACCGATCATTGCTCTGCTCCATTTAGTAATCAGAGGACAGTCGAAGTTACTCCTTTAATGACAGAAGCTTCATTAGATTCGCTTTGCCGATACTGGAGGGGGCGGGGCTTAAGCTTCAGGACAAATGAAACCGGGTCAGAACGGATCATCTGCACCCACTGGTAGGAAATGTCCCTCAGGGAAGGTGTTGGGGTTGAATCTGACCTCTGACCTCTCCAGTCATCCTTACAGCTGCTTTTCCCCGTTTCTTTTGATTCAGTCAGAAGAATCCTCACATAAACAGAGCTGCCAGGAGTATGAATAATTATGGGCCTAACCTTTGACCTCCTATATAAACGGCCTTGATGACTCAGTTCCTGCTTCATCAGAGCTGATGTGGATTTTTAACGAGTTGCTCCAACAGAATCAAATGTTTATGACATTTAATCACTGAAATGTTATAAAACCACAAAATTATGAAGGTTGTTGTGATGCAGGTTTAATATCAGGATGAAGAGCATCTGCAGAAATGCAGAAATATTCAGATTTTTTATGATTTTTCTGTTTTTATCTTACAAAAATATATTTAAACATCACTGAATCTAAAAGTGAAATAACAGATTACATGAACGTGGGAGCTGCAGATGTCTCTGGTCTGGTCGGTGTCCCTGGTTGGACCGCTATGTCCCCTCAGAGAGCCGGGTTCTAACCCGCTTTGGGTCCGGGTTCTGCCTGTGAGCCCGCTCTGTGTTAAACTGAACCTTCAGCATGTTGAGAAACAGCCAGCAGGAATCGTTTCATGGTGACAGGCTTTAAAGATGGCTTCTATAAATAAGCTGCTATTTTAGGACAAAGGAACACTGGCTGTGGTGTCACTCAGGTGAGAAGATGGCAGCTGGTTGCTGTTGTCTCTGTTAGCAGCGCAGCTTTCATCTCAGCATGTCTGATCCGGCATGTCTGAAGCTGTCAGAGAAGAAGTTTCATCTTTCATGTCGAACGTCTGCAGATGTTTGACATGTTGGAGAGCAAACAGTTGGTTTAGAGCAGCAAACACTCCAGATCCAGACATGTTGGCTGTTTTTCATAAACTCATAGTTAGCATTAGCATTAGCATTGCAGTTAGCATCACAGTTAGCACTGAGGCGCTTCAGTATTGTTCAAGAAAACAAACCAAATTCTTGTTTTTGCACCAGAGAGCAGCTTTAATTGGATGGTTATGTTACATGGAGGCTGAGGTTCTATGGGGAGGATACTAGTAGTAAATGTCTTACATGTGACAGATAACTCTCTTCATCAAACTGTATTTGACCTCAATAACCTTCAGCTGGAGAGGTTGGAGACACCCAGCAGATCGGTGTGGGTCAGACATTTAAAAAGTAAACATATCATCATCTAAATATTCTAAAAGAAAGGTAAAAAATGATTCAACAATTAAAAACCAAGAGCCCATTAAAGCTAAAATGATCCTTTATCTCAAAAACAAAATTAAAGGATGAGAAATAAGAGATGATTTATTTAAAATTACAAAATACCTGTAAGGACAGCAGTTTATGTTTAAATGTAACAAAATATGCTGAAGACTCGTCGCTGCATGCATCACATGTTTACAATGACTCATGGAAAAATAAAGCTGAGTAAAAATTAATAAGGATTTGTTTTCAGAGATGAGTATTTTTATTGTGTGTTACTATTTCCATGACAACATTTTAAGTTAGTTTTAACTGATTAAATCAGCTTTGCTCTGAGTCATTGACTACAAATCAGATACTGACTCCTCAGAAGCTCTCAGCAGAACCCCGGGTTCAGTGGCAGCTGCAGGTCTGACCAGCAGCAGCGTGGCCTCATCTCCATGGAGACCAGCTGGTTCCCATGGAAACTGATCAATGGATAAATGCTGAGCAGGACTAATCATAGATATTTCAGTGTAGATGCTGAGGATCGGCTGTTGGGTCAGAAATCCACTCTTTTACTGCAGGACAGGAAGTGACCCAGATCATTTCATGGCTTGATCCGGTTCTTCATGACTGACATCAGAGTCCAGGAGGATGGTTTTGCTGGGTTCTGCTGATCACCTGATGGTTCTTTATCAGTTTTACCTGAGAAGAGTTCATCTTGAAAAGTCTCAGATTGGACAGAACCGGTCCGGTGTTTTACAGGCATGGAAATTATGTTTCTTTAAATAGTTTGTTCATAGTTGGTTATTGACCTTTGACCCCCTGGTTCCTGAGTGGGAGTTTCAGTGGCAGCAGAATTGATTCTGACCCAGTTATTGATTAAAAATTCACCAAACACAAACATAAATGTAGTGAGTTACTAATTTATTTATAACTCTGCACCAGAACAGCTTGCTGAAATACACCAACAGCTTCATCAGCGCGGTCAAACATGTAAAAACAACTTCGATTTGTTCAGTTAATTAGGAGAATAAAAGCCAGTGTAACAAATAAGACTAAAACAATAGTTTGACTAACTTGGTCAAACGGTAAAAATAAAACGGAAACAAATCTTATTTCAAATGGTTCAGAAAGTGCAATTAGGAGTAATAAATATAATTTAGAATAAATAATAAGCCATGATGTCGCTCAGAGCACAATGCATAGAATAATACAGAATAGATTAGCCCTCATGGATCAGGAACACTGTGACTGATACCTGAAACAGATATAATATCTCATCGGTGCATCTCTGGCTGCTGCAGCTTCAGCTCAGGGCTGAGATGTTGGTCTCCTGTGGGACGCTGAGCAGCTGTCAGAACCAGAACCTGGAGCGGGAACAGGAGGCAGAGGAGGTTGTGTGAAGCTGGTTGTGCTGCTCAGTGACAGCAGCTTTCAGCCTCAGATGATCAAACCGGCTCTGAACATCGATCAGCAACGGTTTGACAGCTGCTGGGATATTTTTAAAATCCGTCCTGCCAGCCTCATTACAGCCTCCCTTCAGACGGGAGCTGGACTGTCGGTGACGAACCCGATGCTGCTGAGCTGCTACAGCAACACGATCGATTAAAGCTGATGATGATCAAACATCACATGACCAGATTCACCTCCCACATCCTCTTTGGGTTCTGGTTCTGGTCCGTCACTACAGAACCGCTCCGATGGCTCAGAACCAGGTCTGTCATGATAACATATTCTACTGAATGATAATTTGTCCCAGAAGTTATTGCAATAAACAATAACATTGGTGTTATGAGAGCCTTTTCAAGTAATATTATGGTAATAGCATAATAATACAAGAACAGATTGTCAAAGATTAATAAGCTTTAAATTCTATTGAACATTTAACACTTAAGCACCCCAGATTAAAGAGAAAACAACAGAAACAATAAATAAAATGAAAAATCTGGGTGTGATGGTTGATCCTCTGTCTAAATTTGATAATCATATTAACGCTCTTATCCAAGCCAGTTTCTTCCAGCAGAGAACCTGTGCCAAGATAAAATCTTATCTTCCTCAGCCTGAATTTGAGAGATATATCCACACATGTATTACATCACTTTCAGATTATTGCAATTCTGTGTATTTAGGGTTTGACCAGAGTTTTTGGCAGCAACTGCAGAGCGTGAAAAACGATGCAGCCCGTCTATCAGCCCCATTCTGCACACCTTTGTCTGGCTCTCTGTTTTAAGTTTTCTTATCTTCCCTCCACCAACCCAGAGCGCCGAGGTCAGACGAGGAGCTTCTGTTGGCTGAAACCAGTTAGAGTCTAGAGGTGACAGAGCTTTGTCTGTGGCATCACCCAGACTGCAACCCTGCAAGTTCAGACTGAAAACTCATCATTGTTTCTAACACCAGTTAAAAAAGCAGGGAAAGAATGAGTACTTAATTGATTCAGGTTTTGGGAAATTTCTGAAATGAAGTATGTTTTGGTTTTTAATTTATACTTTTGTTGTTGTTTTTTTACTTCCAATTTTATTATATATTTTTTATTTTATCTATCTACAATTTTGTAATTATTGTGAAGCACTTTATATAAATACACAGCAAAAAAAACAAAATATTACCAAGTAATCTTGGTCTAGTTTCTCGTGCAAAAATTACACTTGAAGTAAGACAAACTTACTTAAAAGTAACTGTTAGCATAGAGGCTTGTTTACGAAAACGTTCTTGTTCTATTGGCAGATAAGTTAACTTATAATATGGGGAAAATGTTTTGTTATAAGTTAAATAATTTGCCAAAGGAACTTGAACTTTTTCATCAATATCCAGGAATTATTTACTTATACTTAAAACAAGCCTCTATGTCTTGGTAAAAGTTACTTGTAAGTTATTTTTGTCGTACTTCAAGTTTGCTAAGATATTTGCAGTAAAAACTAGACCAAAAATTCTTGGTAAGATTTTGTGTTTTACCGTGTAAACTTTGATCTGACCTGATGTAGACGCTGATGTAGACACAATAGAACCGACTATTCTATTGTGGGGTTCAACTTTAAACCGAGGTTTAAAGTTGAAATTCCTCTTCCAGTTTCAGTTTATTCTCCTGATAGAAAGCCATCATAGTTCAGATCTGCAGCAGCATGTCAGCCAGGAAGCTCAGCGGGCTGTTCAGCAGCAGGCTGCAGGCTGGCCTGACTGACTGATGGACAGGCTGCTCTGCTCTCACTGCAACGCCATAAACATATATAATCAGTCCTTCATGGTTTAGCTTCTGCTGTTTTCATCGTTTCCCAGAATGCAGTAACCCAGAGCTCAGGTCTCCATTAGCTTCCAGTTCATATATAATTAAAGGGGAATTCGAGGAAATTGATGATAATCTATAAACAAAAGACAGACAGGATCTTTTTTTTCAGTTTATCTCCAGATTTCTTGTCTGAATCTGAAGTACTGAGAACAACCTGAAGAGCAACAGTTTAGTAACAACAGTTTGGGTACAGAACGCGGGTACGGATTGGACCCGGCGCCGTCATTTAGGTTCATGGAGTGTATTTTAATGGTTAAAGTCAGGAAACCTCGTCTGAACCATCTTCGACCTCATCAGATCTCCAGACTCTGAACCATCTCTAAAGTTTCCATCTGCATGGCCAGGGAGGTTCTGGGCCCAGAATTTGGTGGAGGAACCATTAGAAATGGACCTCTGGTTCTGCAGGTTCTCTGACCCACTCTGAGATCTGATTGTTGCTGTTAGCAGCAGAGAGCCAGCCTGACCAGGAACCAGGCCGGGGCGGCCCAGTAGGTGCTGATTATTGGCTCTGGAGGTCCAGCAGATGGAGCATCCAGATCCGGTCCGGGTCAGCTGAGGTGGTTCATCTCTGCTCCGTGAACAGGTCCAGAACACGAGGGGGACGACTCCAGAAAAAGGAGAATTAGATTAATTAGATTAGTCTGCTTTCTGGGCAAACCGTTCCCACTAGAGATCCGTCTCCGTCCCGCTAGAGATCCGTCTCCGTCCCGCTAGAGATCCGTCTCCGTCCCGCTAGAGCTCCGCCTCCAAGCCAACTTGCGGAGACTCCATCATGATTAGACTGCATCAGTTGTCCAGAATCATCAGAATTCATATCTGCGCTGTTTGTTTCTGCAGGTCTGTCTGGAAACCCGGCCGATCTAGAAAAGCGCCACGCTGCGTTCGGGAAGAACTTCATCCCTCCCAAGAAGCCCAAGACGTTCCTGCAGCTGGTGTGGGAGGCGCTGCAGGACGTCACACTGATCATCCTGGAGATTGCCGCCATCATCTCCCTGGGCCTGTCCTTCTACCATCCACCAGGGGGCAATGCTGAAGGTCTGACTACACTCTGATCAAATTCTGCTTGATTATATTAGTGGTATCATTAACTAGATTGTTATTAAAGTTATTACTGTGACTGAATTTAACTTATAAGGTTAATAGTTGACGTCACTCTGCATCAGCAGCCACTGTACTGCGAATGTTGCCTTCAGAAAGCCAGCAAGGATATTAGCTATTTCTAATCAGAATGAACAAAAATAAACTCTTAGAACCTGTTGTTACCAAGATAAAGAAGAACCTGGAGGTTGTCTCCATGGAAACAAGTTCATTGGTTGTTCGTTGGTTGTCAGCATGTGGCCAGGCTGCGGGCGGCGTGGAGGACGAGGGAGAGGCGCAGGCCGGCTGGATCGAGGGCGCCGCCATCTTGTTCTCTGTCATCATTGTGGTTCTGGTCACGGCCTTCAACGATTGGTCCAAGGAGAAGCAGTTCCGCGGCCTCCAGAGCCGCATCGAGCAGGAGCAGAAGTTCACCGTCATCCGCAAGGGCCAGGTGATCCAGATCCCCGTGGCCGAGATCGTGGTGGGAGACATCGCTCAGATCAAGTACGGTGAGTGGCTCATAATGATTATGCTCAATAAATTATTTATTTTTATTTGAGTTGGTTTTATTTAGTCTTTAATAGGGATAAATGCAAGAAACATAGATGTCTTCATCACATTGTTTATTAGCTGTGGCTAATTCACCAAACCTGTCCCTACATACCAGTTGATTAAAATGAAAAACTAAATATAACACAATGATCAAAGACATGTAAAGCAACTCTTTCAAAGTTACTGAATCAAAATTATTCCAATAAGTTTTCTTGGCAAGCTGCAGCCCTGACCTCTGACCCCTCCTGCAGGAGACCTGCTTCCCACCGACGGCATCCTTATCCAAGGCAACGACCTGAAGCTGGATGAGAGCTCTCTGACCGGAGAGTCGGATCAGGTCCGGAAGTCCCTGGACAAAGACCCCATGCTGCTGTCCGGTGAGTGGTTCTGGTCCACTTTCATCTACTGATCAATAGAAAGCAGGATCACGGCCAGAATAACGACTCGGTTCTGAACCGGTACGCAGGGACTCATGTGATGGAAGGCTCGGGCAGGATGGTGGTGTCAGCCGTTGGCCTCAACTCCCAGACCGGCATCATCTTCACCCTGCTGGGCTCCAGTGAGCACGACGACGAGAAGAAAGTCAAAAAAGGTGAGACTCAGACAGGAAGCACAAGAGGTGTGATGTGGAAGGTCATAGGTCGGCTGGAGGCCTGGAGGCTCGATCCGTCAGGTTCTGAGCAGTTCCACTGAACTTCTGTTGGTGGGAGGGGTTCCTGCTGTCCTTCAGGAGAGACGTTGAGGGGTCCAACTGTCGTCTCCAAGCATCAGCGAATAAATGAGACCAGAGAGATGTGGAGTCTGGAGACAGAACTTTTACAGAACCTTTCAGTCAAACAAACTGGACGTTAGTTACTCTGTTTCAGCCATCAGCACTCAGCAGCTGGGATGCTTGATATGATGAGCCAGGCTGGATTTATGCAGGTCTCACTTTTCTCCACATATTCAGTTCCATGTTTTCATCAGAACGGCTGAGCTGTAGAAGTTCAGCCAGAAACGTTTATTCTGTTTAACCCATGTTTCCCTTTGTTCTTTAAAAAGTCAGTCTCAGCTCATGTTTGACACATGGTGGAAGCACAGGAGGTTCAGGCTGCTTAATACCTGATAGACTTGATTCGACTGGGGACCAAAACTGCCTCAGGAAAACCTCTGAAGAAGACATTTCATAAAGAACCTCCTTCTTTATGAAATGTAAACAAGAATGGATTAACGTCAGATTTTAGCATTTGGAGGATTTCTCTGCTTTCTTTGATTAAAGACCATGAGCCATTTCTCCTGCTGGCCTAGCATCTTTGTTTTTGTTGTATTTACCCAGAATGCATTGCGCTGTAGTCTACTTCTTGCTTTTGGAGTGGTCTCCAGTCCACTTTTTGTTCACATATGCATTCAAGCTACACCAGAGTTCATTTCAACAAACCGAGACCTACCAAGGTTTGTAGGCGGATCAGAGTTCACTTCTTTGGTCAACAACAGAATTGGATTGTGCACACACACTGACCCAAACCAACTGGACTTAAAATGGACGGGAGTTGGATTAAAGCTGACTGAACAGGGATGGTGTGAATGCTGCAGCCTTAGCTGCAGTCAGAAACTGTCCTTCATTTAGTTCAGACGCAGAGGAAGAACGTCTCCTAGTTGAGGTCTGTAGACATCAGAGCTGCTGATCGACTTTATCACAACAAACTTTGTTGATCCCCTGATGAGCCAGGGCATCAACAGTCTTTCTCCCTCAGTTTCATGTTTTTCCTTCCTTTAAGGTCATCACTGATGCTGGGTTTCTCCAGAGATGATCTGTGTATTGAGAGGTGGCTCTTCGTCCTCACTTCCTGTTTTATCCAGTTAAGGTTGGCAGTTCTTCAGTCAGTGTCCTGCTGCTTTAGAAAGCATCCCTGGTCTTGAAGAAGGATTCAGTCAGGTTCTCCTAAAGACCTGTTCAAAGAGAATTTCAAATCATTTTTCTACTTTGAAAGACATAAAAGGTCTCTCTGTGGCTGTTCATGCTGAGTTTCTGGGTTTACTGTCCAGAGGAGACGTGGATATTTGCTTTGTTCTGGACAGCCTCCTCTGCTCCACGTCATGGTCTCATTTATTCCTGCTGCTTTCTGGAAACTGAACCGATCTGCTGCTCAGTCAGTTTTAAAGAGTCCCAGATTGGTCTCCAACCAGGCCAGCTACGATCCGCTCGTGATCACGTTGAATCCCCTTTCCTCACCTCCTCAGTTTGTCCCTTATGGTCGTTTCTTTTACCAGCTGAGGTTTGAGTTTGTCAGGCATTCATTGAGCCGGCTGAACGGACGCTCAGCAGAGAGAGAACTGCACTCTGGTTCCGGTCGGAGTCTGATCCAGACCAGGCTGCCGATCCTGACGACATCAAACACAAAGCAGACCTCATAGACCCGTTGAAGAGCCCGCGCCCCCAGCTTCCTGGTGGAGGTCAAAAAACTGTTCACCGACGATGACTAGCATGATCTTTAGCTTCAAGGTGTCAACTTAATGCGCTAAATCTTAAATGTATTTGTGATATATAAAAGAAAAGGGGACGCAATGTTTTGCTACTAATTGTCAGCACTATGACAACTAGATAACAAGGTCAGGAAAAAGTTTCATCTAGATAAAAAATAGTAAGAGAGAGGGACAGTTATGCTAGCTTGACTTTGAGATCCTTAGCATGCAGATAGACTGCAGAATTCTCTGTGTTTCAGTTCAGTTAACAAAAAGGCAACCAGACACCAACTCTGGTAGATCATCAGTACAGCAGATGTTTGAATTAGCTATTCAGCCACCACTGTGTTAGCTTAGCTAATAGCAGTGGTAGCTAATCAACCACCGCTAATGTTCATGCAATCACTTATTAATAATCACAAAATAAACATCAAGCCTGGAAGCATTAAACAGTAAAGGACTGAATGTTCTGTTCTTTGTGTGGGAAATGTTTGCGTGTATTTTGGTGTTGAATCCTGATACACTAGTGGAGCTGTTGTCAGTCTGTTGCTGTGGCAACGGATGTGTGGGAGAGAACAGAGAGTGAGAAAAAAGGAGAATATGAGTGGTTTTGAGTTCAAGAATTTTTCTGAGTTATATTCCCTTTTCTGCACTGAATTAATAATACCTAAGTCTCCAGGTTTCATTTTGTAAATTGTTCTACCGCGGCAGCGCCTCTATGATGGCAAATTAATGAGTCGTCTTTTTGCTCTGCAGTGTTGTGCGCGTATAAATAATAACATGCATCGTCTAGCTGCACCAGTCACAGGTTCATTCATGTTGGGTCACATCCTCTCATTTCTTAGAAACACCCTGAGACTGAACCTCCCTTCGCAATAAAAACACCCCTCAGCTCCTTCATGACACCAGCGATCTCACTCTGACTCTTCTGATCAGCCTTTTATCTGCTCAGTTCTTACATTAGTACAGGGGTCTGAAACCTGACGCACAAAAGATTCTTTGGACCTTTCCCATTAGCTCTTAACTTTGGCTAACAATACATAAACCACAGATGTTTTAAAATATAGTAGCCAATGCAGGTCTTGATGGTTTCTCTGTTTTTTCATGGAATAATTGCAGTACAATTCCACTGCAGAATGATTCTTCTGAATCATTCTACTGAATATTAAACTAGTTTTATTATTAGAACTATTAAAACTAGTTCTAATATCTATTAGAACTAGTTTTGTTGTCATAAGGTTGGAAACTGTGCGTGTATAGCATATTTTTTCTAAAATATAAATTAGAAAATATTAATTTTCTTTATCTTTATACCTAAAAATAGTTTTAAAATTCTCCTAATTATAAAATTACGACAAATTCCTCATGGTGAATTTGTTTTTCAAAAATTGATGCAACATTTGCGGCTGTAAATGAGTTTTATTTAGCAGAAGTATGGATAAAAATGGCCGTCAGGTTGCAGAAACCTGGCGAAACAGAACAGAGGGTTCTGATATCAAGTAGCTCTGACCTGGAACCAGAACCAACTCCAACGCCAGTTGTTGTACTGCTGGATGTCGGCGTCTCTCTCCTCTGATGCGTCCATTTCCGCCCACAGCACACTCACACACACACACACACACACACACACACACACACACACACACCTGTGGGTTTGATCAGTTTGAATTTTGTTCTCCCTCAGCTTGATTTGATCTTTCCTTTGAGCCATCTTATCAGCACTCCGCCCTCTCTCTCTGTCCGAACAGGTAAAAAACAAGGACCCCCCGAAAATCGCAACAAAGGTAACCCCTCCATCCATCCACTTCTCTCCCTCCCCTCCCCCCTCCATTCATCCACCTGTCCCTCCACACTCCTCCTCATCCTCACTGCTCCTCCCTCCCAGCAGCAGGACGGGAGTCTTCAACCCATTTGTCTCTCTGCTGTCTAGAGGGGACGATCTCTTGCTTCGCTTTACCTGTCCAAGGGTGCAACTCTCACCTGTAATGGCCACTGTTGCCGTGGTAACCACCACAGTGGTGGGAATGTACTAAAAGCTTGATTCTTAAGGAGGCAGCAGGGAAACCTGTGTGATAGAGAATCAGTAATGTTTTCTGTAGTGGGCCGACGGTTCGGACCGGATCACCTGGGTTGGTGCAGATCAGTGCGATTTCTGTCATAAACAAAAATGATAATAGTTAATCAATCAGCCGCCACCAGCAGGTGATACAGCATCTGCTCAGCATGGAGGGGACCCTCCTCCAGCTGCTCTCCCTCATGTGATTAATGTCAAAACATAACAAAGTCCTGATGAAACAAGAGGTTTAAGATTCATCTTCATCATCAGAATAATAATAATGGTAAAGTTGGTTATGACCGCTGACCCTCCGTTCAGCAGTGGGACTAAAGAACGGACCGGATCAGTATCAGGAACTGAAAGCTGCAGATGCAACTTTTATAAAAACATGTTTTTTACATATTTGTTAAAACTGTCTCCATGTCGCTTTAGTTTATGAGTCAGATGATCTGTGAAAACATTGACCTCCTCCACTTCCTTCCTGAGCTACTATTGACCAAAAACAGCCAATCACAGCCAGAAGAAAGAGCTTAGCGCTGCCAATCAATCTCATGTACTCACTGCTAAATGTGCTAATGGTGGAGAAACAAATCACTGTTAGCGGAAATCTGCTTATCCGCCATCATTGGTGGCTATGCTAACTAATATTAGCACTCATAATAGGATCTTCTGATGGGGAAAAGCTGTATAGTAGCAGAGAACAAAGGGAGGCGTGGGATGAAGGATGAGCAGCGCCCCACAAGATTGTGATTGACAGGCTCTGACTAGTTGTTCCTAGTTAGCACCAGAAGAAGCCAGAGGAGCTTGACTTTTTCATAGATTATCTGTCTTATACCATACTGTCACAACATGGAAACCGTTTCAACAAATATGTAAAAAAATATATTTGTTATAAAAGTTACTGCAGCTTTAGTCAGTGACAGGTTTCATCAGGAAACTGTTGGATACAAATAAAAGTAACCTCTCATCAGCCAATCATTTTGATGTTGTTACTTTTACTGGTTTCATGTAAAATGATCAGAGACATGGAGGAGCAGCTTCTGTGACCCTTCCTGTTAAGATGATGAACTTAGAGTTACCAGAACCTTTAATGCTCAGGGTTGGTGTTTGGTTCCTGGGTTAAACTAAAATTAAATGAAAGGCAGATAAAGATGAATGTCTAACATATTTATTTCTGGGTAAAATGTTGTGGCCCTGCTCCAGCAGTTTTCACTAAGCTTCATTAGCATAGCTTCCTTCCTGGTTGACCTAACACTGGCCCAACGTTAGCTTGGGTAAAATCAGATCCAGTTGTTTTTTACTTCGCCAGAGGCCACGCCTCCGGCAGCAGTCAGCCGATCCAGACCTGCTGGACGAAGCGAAGCGTAAAGCAAGAGGCTGGATTTTAGCAGAATAACTAAAATCTTGCAGCTTTGCCTTAAAGTGACCCGACACATTAAAAACAAATGTTAAAACGCGGCGCTAGTCACGGTGTCCAGTTTCAGTGTTTGATCAGGTCCAACAAACCATTTATCAGTCTGATTCTACATTAAAACACGCTTTCAGTTCTGATTTATAGGAATCAGCAGGTTCTGAACATCTCAGGCCTTCAGGCAGAGAAACTAAACGCTGCCTCACCCTGTTTGGTTCTGGCTCCAGAGCGCAGTCAGCAGATCACTCTGCATGGTTCCTACAGACCAGGAACTCAAAGTGTTTCAGCTCCAAACCATTTATGGACCAGCAGCAGAACCAGTAACAGTGGAGTCTAGTGGACCTGGGACTGGTTCCACAGAGAGATGAATCTGCATATCGTCGACATGGAAACGTTTAGCTCTCTATGATCTGAACCACTTTAGATCAAACGAAACAATAAAAAATAATTCTGAAACGATAAATTGATCAGGTCTGGGTTGAGGCTCCGCGCTCCTATTCCTGTCTGACAGCATGCAGTGATGATGTCATCGGGTCGTCGTCCAGAATGCGCCAACTGTCCTCCATCTTCCATGCAATCCAACACATGTCCGGCTTCCTCTGCGGCGCCGCCCTGCTGCCGGCCTCCTGCCGTCGCAGCATCTGCTGCAGATATGCCGCAGGAACTCACGCATCATCAGCTCTGATCCCACTGTTATCCTGGCAACGGGTTCTGAGGAGTTCTGGGTTCACTGATCCCAGCAGCACGGGAACAGCTCCGGTCCGGTCTGACCTGGTTCCTCTCTGAACTGGTTCTGGTCTGAAGTGGACCTGTTTGTGGGAGTTGCACCCTTCCAGTGTTGCTGGACCTCTTTACATTGGTTCTGCTCTCATCCCCACTTCCAGGTGGGCGTGTCCTCACTCATTCACTCTTCCTCTTTCCCCTTCTCTTCTTCCTCCTCCTCCTCTTATTCCTCTTCCTCCTTCTCTGTTCTGCATCGCTGTCGTTCCTCCATTTTGTTCGGGGTGATCCTTTGAGTTCATCTGGTTTGTGGAGTCGCTTCCCCCCCGTCAGACACGCCTCCTCCTCTGACCGCCGTGCGTTTTCCCATGGTGCCTTGCTGCGCCTGTTTCTGGTTCTGTCGTGGGTCCGTGGGTCCGTCCTGTTAGTCCAGTGTTGTGGCTTGTTGTCAGAGTGGACCATGTGCATAAAGCTCCACGGCTTCCTGGTTTGACACACGACTCATTCCCACATCTGGAATGTTACATGTCCTGTGCTGTGATGATGATGATGATGATGATGATGATGTGTGGGATTAATTATCAAGCTCCTGCTGCAGGTTGGGATTCTCCTCTGATGTCCAACCAGGCAGGTCTTCATTAACGGTTTCAGCTGTTTTTGTTTTCATTGTTTTGATTATTTTTTTGTTCTTCATGAAACACAAGAACTGATCAGATATGAACCAATAATCGTCTTTACTCTGATAAAACCTTAAAATGTCCCACATTATTAAGCTTTCCTGAAGGTGTCAGCGTCAGGCAGGTCAGAGCAGTGCTTCAGCTGGAGGTCAGAGGTCAGCTGTGACCCAGAGAGGTTTAGTAAACAAACCCCCAGGTGACCCGGAAAGTTTTCACACCTCTGAACTTGATGCGTTTTCTGTGACAGACCAACACAAAGTTCAGTGTGGACATGTTTTGATCAGCAGAAATCTGAAAAGTGTGGTGTGCCTGTGTTTTGACTTCATATTGGGGCTTTATCGTGTTGTTTTTCATTTATCATAATACATTTTTACTATAATAAGAAATTAGATTTGTTATTGTCAGAATAAATTATTATTGGTGATATTGAAAATCCCCCAAACCTGTTGGAATTGTTAATGTTACTTATTTCTGCAGTGCTTGTTAATGAGAGTATCAATAAATATCAATACATTTGACACATGACTGGTGTCCTAAAAATACGCATTTCAGCAGCGGTCTTTGTGTGCTTTTGTGCATCTTAAGGTCATAGCTGTACGGTTCTCTGAAAAAATGTAGTAAAAAGTAGTAAATATTTCTTATTGTTACTTTCCTTATCAAAATAATACAACAAAATATTATGATAAAACTTCCAGTCTACATTGCTCACTTCTGCACATCCAAAGCCTTTGATCTTAGTTTCAGTTTTGAAGTTTATCAAAATGAAGGGGGCTGAATGCACTCCGCACTTTTCAAATTTGTATTATACTTCCACTTCACTGCTTTTTGTTAATCTGTCACATAAAATCCCCCTGAACCTCCGATTCAAAGAAACCAAAAGTGAGAAAGTTTGGTGTTGTGAAAGCATTTGCAACACAGAGCTGTTGTGTGGAGACGGTTGCCCACGGCGACCCGGTTACAGATGATCGAGTCCAGCTGCAGAGCGGCTCCCGGCTGATGCAGCAGGATGCAAATCTGAAGTTTGTTTATGGAAATGCAGCCTGTTGCAGCGCAGCCACGGTCAGAGCCGCTGCAGGACGTGTTGATGGGTCTCCGTCGTGTTCCTCCAGCCCGGACTGAAGTTCTCTTCTCTCCTCTGCTCCCTCCTCTCCTTTCCTCCTTTCTCTTTCATTTCAACTCATCAATTTATTTTCCTGCTTTCCTTCATGGAATTAAACCTATTTTTGTTTTCATCTCATCTTCACCGTCATTCACCGTGTTTTCCCCTGAAATCCCTCCCTGCCCCCCGACCAGCCAAGACCCAAGACGGCATCGCGCTGGAGATCCAGCCGCTGAAGAGCGAGGAGGCCACCGAGTCGGAGGAGAAGGAGGAGGTGAAGCAGGTCAAGAAGGTCAACGTGACCAAGAAGGAGAAGTCTGTTCTGCAGGGCAAGCTGACCCGGCTGGCGGTCCAGATCGGCAAGGCTGGTGAGGAGTGCACGCACACACACACCCACGCACACACACACCCACGCACACACACACCCACGCACACACACATAGTGGGGCTGGGCATTTATCACAATAAATTTATTATCATGATAAGATTTTGATTCATTACTGTCACAATAGAATAATGACACTTAAAAAATCAAAATCACCTAAAACTGTTTTGTCATTTTACACTGCAAAAACACCAAATTTTACCACGTATTTTTAGTCTCATTTCTAGTGCAAATATATTAGTACACTTGAAATAAGTCAAAACTAATTTACAAATATCTTTTCAGGAAGACATAGGAGTTTGTGTTAAGTAAATAATTCCTTAATGTTGGTAAATAAGTAATAGTTCCATTGGCATATAAATTTACTTATAACAAGATAATTTCCCCGTGTTATAAGTGAAATAATCTGCCAAAGGAATTAGTTCTTTTTCACCAATAGTAAAGAATTATTTACTTTTATATTTTATAAATATAGCTTTTATATCTTTCTGATAAGCTCCCTTTAAATTAGTTTTGTCTTAATTCAAGTTTACTAAAAAATTTGTTCAAGAACTACTTGGTAATATAGCGTGTTTTTGCAGTGTACTATTTTTCTCCACTGTTTCTTCGATATAGGTGTTTTAATAAATTTGAAAATATGACTAAATGCACTTTAGTAATAGAAATCACACTTCTTTATGTGAGTAGTGTCCTAAAGAAATCATTACAAGTGGGAATGTTTCTCAAGAGCATTATCTGTGTTTGGGGGGTTATTATAGCAGTCACGAATATGGGACTGTTCCTTTAACGGCTCAGCGGAGAAGCTGATTGGTTGCTGAGCTTGGGGGTCAAAATGCACTTAGTTTTATTAGATGGATTCTCTATTGGGAACAGGATTCATCCTGAAATTGAAGGTGTTTTCTGTCTCATTTCAATTGACCCTAATGCACCGTTACATGACTGAAACATTTGGGTCGCAGGACGACGGACGGGTCGCCAGGAAGCTTCAGAATCAGAAACAGACAATTTAATGTTCAGTTTTATCTTCAGTTCTGAACATACAGGGCACATCTAGACTAAAATCATTTCTGTTCCTGTTGTCGCCCCAACAGGAACCTGCCAGGATGAGCGGCAGAAGATCAAACTGTCTGAACTCATGTAGTGTTGATCAGATTCATTAAGCTATATCAATCAGTTCATTCAGTTCAGAAATTCATACAAAATCAACAGATCCCGGCATTCTTTCACTCTAATGTGTAATTGTGAGTTTATTGCAAATTTTCATCAGAAATTGTCAAAAACTTTTAAGTGACGTTTAAGTGATTCATGCTCCCACCTGCAGGTGGCAGTAGTTCTTCTGCCTCAACCTGATCTAATAAGTTTTACTATAACTTATAACACCACATCGATCACTATAACTACTATAGTGATCGATAACAGTTATCGATCACTATAACTGTTATAACAAAGTTGAGGTATTTCACTTGCTTAGCCTGGTGCTAGGGGGCGCCAGAGCGGCCCACCAGCTGTGTCTATATTAAAAAATATTAAAAGTTGACAGGAAATGTAAAAATTTGACGCAATAATTATGTTTTTGGAAGACACTCTAGGCAATACTTAGACACCAGCTTAAAAAGGCAGACACACTGAAATACATTTAAAATAAATATTGATTTTTGGTATTTCAGTTAAATCCTAACCAGCCAGTGGATCTCTGGTCACATTTAAAAGTAAATAAATTAAAACAAATGTCTAAAATGAACATTATGATTCAGCATATATGTATGTTTAAATAAATATTCTTTAGGTAAAAAGAAAGCCTGGCGGGTGGGCGGGGGGAATAAAGCTTGCAGCCCGCCAGGCTTATAAAACACTGGAGGAAACTCTGATTTTAGTTCTTTAAAACGGTTGTGTTCAATTTGTCTGCTTGTTGTTTTTCTTCATTTCTTTTATATATAGGTTTTTGATGAGAGCTTTAATAAAGATGAAATATTGCAAATATTTCTTAAGTAGCACAGCAAAATCAGTGACTTTGCTTTAAAAATTTTGTAAAGAATTCTTTAAATTCCTTAAAAATTTAAAGAATTCTCTAAATTCTTTAAAAATTTAAAGAATTGTGAAATCTTGGAGGGACTGATTAATGTAATCAAATAAATATGATGGATCAGAAAACTTGAGAATCCACTTATCATCGATTACGTCTTAATTAATTCCTCTTAAAAACCTGATAAAGATGTGAATGTTCAGAAGAACCTGGGATGGTACCGGCACTGATAACATGTTCTGGTTCTGTTTCCTCCCCCAGGTCTGTTCATGTCCGCCCTCACCGTCATCATCCTCATTCTCTACTTCGTCATCCACACGTTCGCCATCCAGGGCCACACCTGGATGGCCGAGTGCACGCCCATCTACATCCAGTACTTCGTCAAGTTCTTCATCATCGGCGTGACAGTTCTGGTGGTGGCGGTTCCCGAGGGGCTGCCGCTCGCCGTCACCATCTCTCTGGCCTATTCTGTCAAGAAGATGATGAAGGACAACAACTTGGTGCGCCACCTGGACGCCTGCGAGACAATGGGCAACGCCACGGCCATCTGCTCAGACAAGACGGGCACGCTGACCATGAACCGCATGACCGTGGTGCAGGCGTACATCGGAGACACGCACTACAGGACGGTCCCGGAACCCGACGCCATCAACCCGGGAACGCTGGACACGCTGGTCAACAGTATCTCTGTCAACTCCGCCTACACCACCAAGATCCTGGTGAGGCGCCATCTCTAGAACGCCAACCAGACGCGGAGCAGAGCAGGTGTTTGACGTTTTATTGTTTCAGCCTCCAGAGAAGGAAGGCGGCCTCCCGCGCCATGTCGGCAACAAGACGGAGTGCGCCCTGCTGGGTCTGGTGCTGGACCTGAAGAGGGACTACCAGCCAATCAGAGATGAGATCCCAGAGGAAAAGATGTACAAGGTTTACACGTTCAACTCCTCCCGCAAGTCCATGAGCACGGTACTGCGGAACGCTGATGGAGGCTTCCGGATGTACAGCAAAGGAGCGTCGGAGATCGTCCTGAGGAAGTAAGCATGCAACAAATGGAAGATTGCAGAAGCAAACACTCAGAAACGAAATGCTCAGTGGCTGGCAGGTGTAGAAACAAAATGCTCAGCAGCTTGGCACCAGCAGAGAAACGAAACACTCTGCTGCCACTTAGCAGAGAAACTAAAAGTTCAACAGCAGCTGAGGGAAAAAACAAAATGCTCAGCAGCGGTTGGACAGAGAAACAAAACGCTCGGCGGCGGCGTTTCATTTCTCTGCCCAGAGAAACGAAACGCTCCGCTCACCAGTTGGGCAGACAAAGTAAACTCTCTCTGGTGGCTGGGAGGAGAACTAAATGTTGTTAGTGTTTTATTTCAACACAGCACTTAACCGCCACCAAGCCTTTCGATTCTTTGGCAAAGAAATAAAACGCGCGATGGCCACTCAGCAGAAAGCAAAATCCTTGGCGCCTGTTGGTCAGAGAAACAAAACCCTTAGCAGAGGTTGGGCTGAGACCTGATTCACTCAACGCTCCAGTTGGGTGGAGAAACCTGCATGCTGGCTGAACGTTCTCTCTCTGCTCCTCGCCAGATGCTCCCGGATCCTAGACGCCAAGGGTCAGCCCCGTGTATTCAAGACCAAAGACCGAGACGAGATGGTGAAGAAGGTGATCGAGCCGATGGCATGCGAAGGGCTGCGGACCATCTGCGTGGCGTACCGGGACTTCCCTGCCGAGGCCGGGGAACCCAACTGGGACAACGAGAACGACATCCTGAACGAGCTGACCTGCATCACTGTGGTGGGCATCGAGGACCCCGTCAGACCCGAGGTACTCCCCTGGTTCGGTTCTCTTTTAAAAGCAGCAGAAGTTGCTTCTGAAGTAATGAGGCAGATTTTTCTGTCTAGCAAAAGTTATTCGCACCCGGACATCTTTGTTCTGTTCTGGAGGCAGTTGAGTCTGCAGCTGTGTAGTTGCTAAAAATCACTTTAATACACAGCTAAATGGCAGGCTACTTTGCTAGCTTGCTACAGTTTACATCTGGAAATTTCTCACATGTGCACAATGCTGGAGGGCAAAAATATGATTCTTTCACGTTGTCCACAGCCATAGAACAGTCCTGTTAACTAAATGAAGCCTGAAGATGAAGGAATTATTCATTTGGTTCAGTGCACCACAGCAAAGGGAAAAGTAACGCAGAAATAACGGTGAAGAACAACTCAAAGTCTCTTGTGTTCGTTTTTCCTGATCTCTGCTTTGCTATGTTACACAGACCTGTTGCCATAGCAACTGACCAATAACAACACCACTAACGTATCAGGATTCAACACCAAAACCATGCAAACATTTCCCACACAAAGAACAGAACATTCAGTCAGTTACAGTTTTATGTTTTCAGGCTGGCGATCGTCTGAACACAGCGGTGGCTGATTAGCTCATTTAAACACCTGCTCTACTGATGATCTGTTAGAGAGTTGGTGTGCGGGTCGCCTTGTTTTTTTTTTTAACTGAAGCTAAATACGCAGAATTCTGTAGCACGTTTACATGCTAGGGTTGTCAAAGTCAAGCTAGCGTAACTGACCTTTTTCTCTCTCCCTTTTTTTATTAAAACCTTTTCCTGACCTTTTTATGTAGTTGTCGCAGTGTTGACAATTCGTAGCAAAGCACTGTGTCCCTTTTACTTTTGGCATCACGGTGGCGAAGCTTCTCTTCCTCTAACAGCATGTTGCTCCAACCCTCCAGGTACCCGCGGCTATCGCTAAGTGCCAGCGGGCGGGAATCACTGTGCGCATGGTAACCGGGGACAACATCAATACAGCCCGCGCCATCGCCACCAAGTGCGGCATCCTGCTGCCAGGAGAGGAGTTCCTCTGTCTGGAGGGCAAAGAGTTCAACACGCAGATCAGGAACGACAAGGGAGAGGTAATAACACTCAGAGATCACTGAAAAGATTAAATGTCTGTTAAAACAAAACTTTATGTGTTTGTAAAAACTCATTTTATTACTTGGGGTGGGTTTATCGTCCTGAACTTTTCTGTAAAGTTCTCATCCTTGATGATTGCTGCTCAAACTAAATCTGAACGTTTTATGTGGACTCAGATATTTTTATTAATAATAAAATATTTCTGTTTTATGGTTGAAGATTCTCACACAGAAGTTGGAAAATAAACCAGTAAACCAATAATTATTTCTACTGCTGTTAAAGATTTATCAAACATAAATTGTTACAGACAAAATAAGTTAAATAAAAGTGAAAGAATTATATTGGGTTTTTTTTTTATTTTCTTCAGTTATGAAAGCTGCTGATTGAAGCTGAAGAAGCATTTGGAGTGTAATTAGCCTGACCTCTCTGCAAAAACACAAAATAACACCAAATAATTTTTGTCTTGTTTCTAGTGCAAATATCTTAAAATTCTTAAAATAAGAAAAACTAATGTACAAGTAACTTTTCAGCAAGAAATAGGAGCTTGTTGTAGGTCAGTAATTCTTTAATGTGAATAAAAAAGTTTTATTTCCACTGATGTGAAACATGTTATAACATGGGAAAAATGTCTAGTCATGAGTGAAATAATCTGCCAACGGAACTAGAACTTTTTTTAATCAATATTAAATTAACTTAAAACCTGTATCTTGCTGAAAAGTAAGTTTCATTGTATTTAAAGTGAACTAAGATATTACTAAGAAAAACACTTGGTAAGATTTTGTGTTTTTGCAGTGCTGCAGCTGGACCTTCATAAACTACGGAGCCCTACAGGGGACATGGGGAATTTTTGTTTCTCTTGCATTACCTCGCAATAATGTACTGATTAGTTGATTTGGCATAACTGAATACTGTAAGCCTTCCTTACAGTGGCCGTCGTACTTTCTGCTATTACATAAGGTTTTCATGAGGTTTTTCCATGCATGTTAATATCTCGTTGTGAAATACCTGAAGTTTTATATCTTTTTCTTCAGGATAGAAATGCATCAAAAACCATTGATATAAACAGAACCTTTCCATAAGTAGGAAAGAAAGAAAAAATACAACCAAACTATTTGGATTATTTCTGAGTTATTATCGTGGGTAATCAGTCATCTGACAGTTTTGATTGTGTCTCTTTTGTTGGTCTGGGTTAAAGGGCCGTTTTCATCTCAACCACATACAATCAGATATAAACATGCAGTGAATAAATCGATTTTCAACCAGTTTTTACACCAAAGAGTTAATAATAATAAACACGTTTTCACTGAGGCTCCTTATATGTGTATATATTTGAAAATTTAAATTGACATTTGTGACTGTACACAAAATAGACCAGCAAGTACTGCAGTAAGCATATTGAGAGGGAACGCAAAACTTATTGTAAGGGAACGCAAAACTTATTGCGATGTAACGCAAAGAACATTTGTCCCCATGGCCCCTAGGGGCCTCCGTAATAAACTACAACATGCCATTAAATTATCATTATTATTGTTATTTATATCCATAATCTGGTTTTAAGGTTGAACAGGAGCGTCTGGACAAAGTCTGGCCCAAACTTCGGGTTTTGGCACGTTCATCGCCGACAGATAAACACACCCTGGTTAAAGGTGAGCTGCTCCTCCTCTTCCTCCTCCTCCTCAGGTGCTCCTCCTCACCTTCTGCTCCTCTGTGTCAGGAATCATCGACAGCACGGTGGCAGAAACCCGACAGGTGGTGGCTGTGACGGGAGATGGCACCAACGATGGCCCTGCCCTCAAGAAAGCCGATGTCGGCTTTGCCATGGTAACCATTTGCTTCACATCGTCTCAATCCCAGCTGGAATTTCTCCGCTCCGGTGACTAAAAAGGAAAATGAACGGCGTCTTGGATTCATGGAGGCTCCTCCCTGCAGGGTTCCTCCTCCTCCTTCAGATCAGATGAGAGATTCCTGGGATTCATGAGGAGTTTCCACATTCACACCAGATTAACTCCTAAAGCTTCACAGAGCTGTTGGTCCATCCAGACTGGATCTGTGATGTTCTGACCCAAAGTTAAAACAACCTTTAATCCAAATCCACTCATCATTCACAAATTTTGCCCGGAATTGCAATTTTTCTACAAATCTGAGCAATGAGATAATTTTCAGGATTTCCTTCTTTTCTGACCAATCACTGCAACTCGGCTGAATTTTGACCAATCCCTGCAGCCCCCTTCTGATTTAACTTCCTGTTTCACGTCTCCTGAAAGGCGAATCTACAAGATGAAGTCAGGTATGACGCTAAGCCGTTTTAAAAAGTGCTGCAGGATTTGCTTCTGCTGTTTAAACAAACACAGAGCACGGATGGGACATGACCCCTGACCTCTTTCAGCTGTTCCAGGTGTTTAATCAGTTGTTAAGATGTGGAAAGGTGATTTTCTGAGCTGTCTTTAAACGCATCATAAGCGTATACAAGCTGAGGGCGGTTACACCTGTGGATCTGATAACTGAGGAGAGTTTGCTGCACGGCGCGTCTCAGTAATTAGCCAGAGCAGAAAGGAAACAAAAATTTTCAGTTTTCTTCCAAACAAACCCTGGAAGTTGATTAATGCTGTTGCATTCAGATAATGTTAGCTGAATGATGATCCAATCCAGTATATAATATAAATCTAGTTAACATGAATATTATAATGTTGACCTTACCTATTTATAACCTTATAACATAGTTAATACCAGGAATACTCCTGACCAGCTTTCATTTCTCTTCAGAAGCTGTTCTCACTGTTTCTTATCACATATTTAAAATTATTTTTTATTGTCACACTAGAAGAGCAAAGAGTCAGGGAGGAGACATTAGACCAGAGGCCAGCAGCAGGACGGTGAGGAGGATGATGATGATGATGATGATGGTGATGGTGATGATGATGCAGGGTTTTCTCAGGTAAGGAGGGATTATAACCTGATAAGAAAAGACAAGGAAAGGGAAAGTTATGTGCAAGAATTTAAACTTTTTTTTTAATCATGTTATGACAAATATAAAAGCTAAAAGATTTGCATCTTTTTGGAAAAGGTGCCACAAAATCAGTATTCATAAAAAATCCTGAAGGGACTCATAATATCACTGACCAGCAGATGGCAGCAAAGGACTGCCATTATGACTCCAGCTATGTGTTTAAAATTCGTCAACAGGCACCAGCGGTAAAATTTCAACAATAGTCTCCAAGTTCGCCCATCCAGTCTACATATGCTTTGTGGACTTAGAGAAGGCATTGAGCTGTGGGAACCCCGTGGGGGTCAGCATGGGGTTCCACGGACTGTCGATCTACGTTCCTACCCTCATCTGTGGTTGTGTGGCTTTGAGTTGAGACCAAATGAATGAAATCACGGGTCCAAGCAATCAGAAGGAGACCTCTGCTGACCCGTCCTCTGTCAGGATGTCTCCGTTAAAGCTCCTTCCTGTTTTCATCGATTTGTGGGCTCTGTTAGCATCCTGCAGAGATGTGCAGCTCATCCTGCGTGTCACCTGCAGGGCATCGCCGGTACCGACGTGGCTAAGGAAGCCTCCGACATCATCCTGACCGACGATAACTTCACCAGCATCGTGAAGGCCGTTATGTGGGGCAGGAATGTCTACGACAGCATCTCCAAGTTCCTGCAGTTCCAGCTGACTGTCAACGTGGTGGCCGTGATCGTGGCCTTCACCGGCGCCTGCATCACCCAGGTAACTGTCCGCCTCCGCCCCCTCCAGGCCGAAATATGATGGCCGCAGGTTTCTGACCCACTGGTACAAACCAGAGTCATAAATCAGTTTCAGGTTGATATCTGAGTATATCAACCTGAAACTGATGTTTTAGTGAACATTAATGAAAATGTTCACTAAAACATTTTCATTAACTGAAATAAATGAAAACGGTAATTAATGGGGAAAGACTACAACTAAATGGGATTACATTGTGCATATATAAAACTAAAGCATTCTGAATTTCTACATGTAATGGCCTTTTTTGTGTTTATGAAGCTATTTATTAGCTTTTCGAACTGATGTGAAATAGATTTTTTTCCCCACACAGTTTGCGTCAGCTGTCGGCAAATTACGGCTTTTACCGAAATCCATAAAATGGCAACACCAAAACTTTCTGTTGAGTGGTCATTATCCAATTGACGTTTACGTAATCACAATCTTTAGGTGAATTCTGCTCCTAAAAATTAAATAAAAAATGTAATTATGTATGAAAAAACTAAAACTACTGCTATAACTAAAAAAAACTAAACTACAACTAAGCAGTATTTAACTAATAAAAACTGTCAAACTCTCTAAAACTGAATTAGACAAACAAAAACTCAACAAAATAAAACTAAAGGTAATTTTATTTATATAGCACATTTTCTGCAACAAGTCTATACAGAGTGCTTTACAGGATTTAAAAGGAAATAAAAACAAAATAACCAAAGGAAAGAGCAAAAGAAGAAAAAGCTAATATGTTGATCCAAAGTAAATAAACTAAACAATAATGAAAAACCCTAAACTACTCTAGTTTGAGATGATTTAATAAGAATATGTTTGAATGTCGTTTCTGTCTGGCAGCAGTAATTCCAGCCAGCTAATCAGATGCTATGCAACACATTAGTGAATTTGTCGCTTATTGATTGAATCGTGTGATTTCCTTGGAAGAGGGCTCTGACTGAAGCGTTGAAGAAGATGATAGTTTCTGGTCGTCTTCATGGTGTCAGGAAGTGATGCGACCAGGAAGCTGAACTCCTGAACCGCGGCAGAGCAGAACATCTGGAGGCTGTGTGTTAATTAAGAAGCTCACAGCTGGCACAGTGATAACTAACCGCTCTGCAGCACCGGCAGCATCAGCCAGGCCGGGATTCAGCCTGAAACCATGGCAACCCGTCACATCCGCGGTCCTGAAATAAAACAGGAACTCAGCAGGTCTGCAGGCTCGGATTTTCCCCCATCAGCAGCATCAGCGGCGGCGGCGCTTGGTGCGTGTTGAGCCACCGGCATGTTGACACGCATCATTAGAATCGGTCTGTGTTGAACAATCTGGAGGTGGGGGGTGTTAACGAAGTAAAATAATGCGACCAGATAGTGACAGCCTCGCTGTGAACACACACGCTCTCTGCACCAACATGGCCTCCACATGCAGCGAGTCACACTCATAAAATGATTATATCTCTTCTTCTACTGTTATTCTAAAGATAAACATCAGGTTGTTTTAACCTGATTTTATCATCTTGGCCTGGCACAATAACTAAATTTAGTCTGTGACAAACTTTCCCAGAAGTTATTGCAATTTATGATAATTTTGTTATTTTGAGATAATTTTCAAGTTACCTAATAGTGATGGCAAAATAATGCAAAGATCAATAAACTTTAAATTCTGATGAACATTTTACACTGGAGCTGGAAGACATTTTAAATATCCAAAATAAATAAACAAAACAACAAATAAAATGAATGATGAAGTGTCTGAAAACAAAATTATCCTTCAAAGAAAGACTAGTTGAGACCAAAATACCTGACTGGAGAGTTTTGGTAGAAAGACAGAAAAGAGAAAAACAATAAATTATCCAAATGGAAGTTTGTTATAAGTTATCATGCAATAAATTGGTTTATTGCTTATTATGACTGGACTAATCAAATCATGACCTTTTACCTTTTGCCACATCACAACTTGCATTTCCTTTAATCAGATAGTGAAGCTACAGAGGATTTAGATGCTAATCGCTAATAAGGGAATTTATTTGTGTTGGAGAAAAGATGTGAAACGGCGCCATGTGAAAAAATTTATTTGAGCCTAAAAGTAGCAAGATGGTGAGACTTTGTCTTCGGTTACCATGGTGACAGACGTGGTTTTAACTGGAAACCCAGAGGACGGCTTTAAAAGTCATGTTATTGTTGACCTCAGGGCTAACGTGTGCTCCACTCTGCAGGACTCCCCTCTGAAGGCCGTGCAGATGCTGTGGGTCAACCTCATCATGGACACGCTGGCGTCCCTCGCCCTGGCCACCGAGCCGCCCACCGAGTCGCTGCTGCTACGCAAACCCTACGGCCGCGACAAGCCCCTCATCTCCCGGACCATGATGAAGAACATTCTGGGCCACGCTGTATTCCAGCTCATCATCATCTTCACTCTGCTGTTTGCAGGTGAGCTTAGCTCAATGTTAGCTAATGTTAACAGCGTGCAGGTTGTAGCTACAGCTTCTGGTCGTTTCTCAGGGGAAAAGTTATTCGACATCGACAGCGGCCGCAACGCTCCGCTGCACTCCCCGCCGTCTGAACACTACACCATCGTCTTCAACGTGTTCGTGATGATGCAGCTCTTCAATGAGATCAACGCCAGGAAGATCCACGGCGAGAGGAACGTGTTCGAGGGCGTGTACAAGAACCCCATCTTCTGCAGCGTGGTCCTGGGCACCTTCGCCCTGCAGGTACCATCATCATCATCATATTACGTCCAAAATCTGGGTCCAAACATTCTTTTTATTTAACATTCTTTTGTTCAACTGCTTTTAAGTTTCTATGAAGAAAAAGAGAAAATTAGATGTTCTCAATTCCCACATTCAAACTAAACCCCAAAATATAAACAGAAAGGTGGCCCTACTGAGACGGTCAAAAAGAACAGAAAGGTACAAAATATAGGAAATAATCCAAAATATATTAAAGTGACAGAGAAAATCATTTAACTAAAGTCTATAAACAAAAAAGACTTATAAACTTATAAATAACTAGGATATGTCCAAAGCACATTCTGATGCTTTTGAAGGTGCTGAATGCTGTCTGGTAGCTGTTGTATTCTAGATCTGTGTCCAGGTGGGAAATGGAAAAGGAAGGATCTGACCCACATTCAGGTGGTGATGGATTCCTCTGGTGAAAGCATAACAAACAGTTTCTTCCTCTCCTGCTCAGATCATCATCGTTCAGTTCGGAGGGAAGCCGTTCTCCTGCGCGCCGCTCACCATCGACCAGTGGCTGTGGTGCGTCTTCGTGGGAATGGGCGAGCTGCTGTGGGGACAGGTGAGTTCCACCCACACACCTGGCTGAAGGGGAGCTTTGTGCCGCTGCCACGTTGCCGTAGCAACCATCGGCATGGCAATGAGCTCCTGTTTACGAGTTACGAGGGAGAAGGAGCCGCAGCATCAGTCCCTCTGTGTGGTTTGATGGCGCTCTGGCCCAAACGGCAGCGTTGAGATAAAGATGAAAGCTGGTTGGACCAAAACAAACAGCTTTGCAATAAATCAATTAATCACACTATAAATTAAAACAAACTCAATGATTTACATTTGCATTATTCGTTTATTAAATGTTTCTCTCTCTTCACCAAAAATTGAGTGACTAAAGTCTTCAGTTTGGTGTTTTGGTCTCAACTAGACAATTTTGTTTTTATAATTCATTTTATTTGTTGTTTCTGTTTTGTTTATTTTGGATAAAGGTGGGCAATATGGACTTAAAGTTTTATGTTATGGTACTATTGTAATAAATATAAAAGTGACAATAAGAACCATTTATTAGTAACTTTTTAAGCAACTTTAGTCAGAGCTCAACAATTACTAATCTTGAAAAATATTTGTAGGACACCAGTTAGATAAAGAAGTGTGATTTGTGTCACTAAGATGCACATAGTAACTGTATTAATCACATGTTCAAATTTAGGGATATTTATACTCTCATTAACAAAAAACTGAGAAAATAGTAAAATTAACAATCCTGATGATGCAGGTACTTTTAGAGTTTTAAAAACCATTAATTGGGATTTACTGTGATAGTGATAAATCTAAATTCTGTTAAGAAACACATGATAAATTATAAACAAAATGGTAAATGTATGTTTAAAATGTCCTGCAGTTCCAGTGTTAAGTGTTCATTAAAATTTAACATTTATTGATCTTTGAGAATCTATTCTTGCACAATTATATTATATTATATTATATTATATTATATTATAATATACAATTTATCATCCAGCAACATTTATTGTGACGGGCCTACCAACAGCAAACATAGAAACTAGAATTATTCAATCTATGAACTAAATGTTGAAACTCCTCCACTGCTGGTGGAGCCAGGCTAAACCAGTCCAACCCAGTCCAGACTGGCAGGATGTTCTGGAAAGCGGGAAGTAAGCTGGTTCTCCCGTCCTCAGCTGATCTCGGCCATCCCGACCCACCACCTGAAGTTCCTGAAGGAAGCGGGCCATGGCATCACCAAGGAGGAGATCCACAAGGAAGAGCTGACGGAGGACACGGACGAGATCGACCACGCAGAGATGGAGCTGCGGCGAGGCCAGATCCTCTGGTTCCGAGGGCTCAACCGGATCCAGACCCAGGTACCGCTAACCGTCCCGGTTCAAATTGGTTTTACTCCTCACATCAAAGCTCTGCTGAACTGGGCAGCGTGTCGGCTTCACAGTGTCTCTTGTCTTCAGCGACAAGACTGAGGTTCTGTTAATTTCACACTCTGCTGCAGATCCGCAGCCCAGAAACTCTTCATTAAAACCTCCAATTAAAGCGGCAGGCCACCTGCTGACAGCCACAGAACTCCGGCTTAAACCAGTCAGGACTGCAACTGGTTACCAGTTCAACCAGTTCTGACAGACCAGAGGACCATTTATCCTCTAGTTAGTGCAACTCTTACACACATTGGCATGGAAACCAGGCTGGAGACTGTGTGCGTGTGTGTGTGTTTGTGCGTGTGTGAGATCCTCCTACAGGATCAACACACACTGAGCAGCAACATGTCCAGTTGGTCCATTCTGTCCCTGTTGGCTTCATTAGCCTTGATGCTAACACCCACGTCCAGTAGCAGCAGCCAGCACACACACACACACACACACACACACACACACAGTTTGTAGTTCTTCTTGGTAAGCAGAAGCAGCTCAGTGAGTAAATTATCACTGCTGCTTATTCGTTTCTGCATTAATTAACTGGAGACGATCAATTAAGATCCGTCCAATCACGTCAAAACATTTAAACTCCTATTTCAGTCCCGATTGTTTTGTTTTTATTTTTATCAATCGTTTACACAGGAAAATCTCTTGAAACTCATTTAAAAGAGACTCTGTTACACACATCATCAGCAAATAACATAAAAACAATATTAATAGAATCTACTTAACTCTTATAAAAGTCAGTACCTACGGATCTGAATTGTAGCCAGTCAGATACAGTTTAATAAGCTGGTTGGTAAAACAGGATCAGTCATATTAAGCCCAGCACCTTTGAAACAGCCCAGATTCCTGAGCAAGCATATGGTAACAGTGGGGAGGAACCACTCCCTGCTAGCAGAAAGAAACCTCCAGCAGAGCCAGAAACTCAAAGATGTTTCTGTTTTCCATCAGTGCCTCTTAAAGACACTGCAGCCTTTTCCAGTGCTTCACTGGTGCTGGTGTTACTCAGCACCAGTCTGCAGCTGCACCAGAACGAATAACTGCTCTTATCGTGAGCTGGAGGCGGGCTCATGGGAAACAGCAACCAATGAAAACGCAGCGTGCTCCAAAAACAGAAAAACTGATGACAGATTAGCATCAGACAACAAAACAGCCCTGGTTTATTAGTTAATGAGGCGATGGGAGGCCTTCTGTTTGCAGAAATATAGTCAAATCATTGTAGCTAAAATGTCTTCCTGCTCTCTAAGCTTCTCATCATGTGGTTCTAACTGGGCTTTCGGAAAGCTAACCAGTTAGGAATCGACTAACTGGTTAGTCTGGTTTCTAGAACCAGAAACACTAGAAAGAACAACACTAACGGCAGCAGCTGTAGATTATCCATCGATGGAGAGCAGTAGGAGAAAGTAGCAGAGTGAGGAGAAGTGGATTATGTCCTACAGCAGTCTAACTACAGCACTAGCCCAGGGTAAGCTAAGCCTGTCTGTCTGGTCTTCCACTGAGGAGGATCCGATCAGCACCAGGAGCCCAACGGGTCCGAATGTTTCAGAGAGAAGAGATCCAGTCGAAGCGGTCACCTGAGAAATGAGGAAGCCGTTTCCTCTTGTTGTCGTGTATCAGTACGATCGTCCTGCTGGGACAGGAGGACGGCAGGACGGGGAGGCGAGCTAATTAGCTTCTTATCTCTTTGTGCTCCTCTTCGTCTCGCCCTCCTCCCTAATCCGGCGGGGCGGCGCTGCTCCGCTTGACGCCTCAGCAGTCAAACACAGAGGGGGAATAATTGGTACAAGCAGCACCTCACCGCTGAGACTTTATCAGTCATTCTAAATGACATTTCTCCTCTTTCTGCTCCCTGCGTTCCTCTGAGCGCTCTCCATTCATCCAGCTCCGCTTCCGTCCCTCGGATGAACACGTCTCTAAATCACAACAGTTCCTCCATGACTTCCTCTTCTCTCTGCCTCCATCTTTGTTTCTCCCTCATGGTTCTGTTTCTTCACGCATCGGCCAACATACTCACGGTGTTCCTCAGGACTGTGGTGTTTGTCCTGGAGGGAACCAAAGCAGAACTTTGTCCTGGTTTCCGGCCTGATTCATTTTCTGATTTCTAGCGAAAACATAAAACGTTTTTCTTTAATGAAGAACAGATCAGATGCTCAGGTTAACAGAGTGAACGTCAATGTTTTATCCAGCGGTGAGCATCGGTAAAAAGTTAGCTATGCTAACCGCTAATCACAAAAGTTAGTTCCACTAATGCTAAAGCACTAAATTCAACCATCTTAATACCCTCATGTGTTATATTTCCCTCGACTGGATCAAATCTGCCATTACACACCTTCCTGTTCGGTTTGCTCTTCAGGACGTGATTCTTTGATCAGATCTTCCTCTAAAGGTTTCAGTTTTACAGAAGTTGACTTTTTCTAACTCTGTTTAGCCGTATTGACCACAATAAGCATGCAGGACATAGGTAGATTTTAAACTGTAGATAATAAATAAACGTAATTTTCTGCTCCGCATCCTGTGAGGAGAGGAAACATTACTGATGTGTAAATAGTTTTCACACACTTCAAAATAAGAGCGTGAATATAAACGTCTGGCTATTTAAAGAATATTTCAGAACCAAAACTTCAACACAGATCTTGAACTTTATTCAACCGAAAGTTTACGAAACAGCCAAATTAATTATCGCTTTTAAAAAAATTTCAGAAAAATAAATTTAGGGGAAACTAAGAGCGCTAAACATTTCAAAGTTAGCAAAAAGCTCAACTGTCTGCTGCAGGGTGCAGGTTTGTCATGTCCAAGTTTAAACATCTCCAGCTCAGAATTAGAACTTTTAAATTCAAATTCTCAGCTCAATTTAGGTATGGACTTTGACTAGGCCACTGAACAGAGTTCTGTTCCACCCCAGTCTCAGGTTTTCTGCAGCCTCTAAAAGGTTTGCTACCAGGATTGTCCTGATTTAACTCCAACCATCTTCAACTCCCCGTCTCTGATGCAGACCAACATTAAGCAGCTTCTGAAGGGAATTTGTTGTTTAAGATGCATCAAAGTACAGAGAGCTGAATAAAAATGAGAACCACACTTTACAGATTATATTCAATAGTCTGAAAATCCTCCATCAGATCATAAAATGTCAGTGAAATACATAGAAATCTGCGCTCTCATGTCAGAAAAGGAGAGGGTTTGTTTTTTGCTGATGGACAGAAATCCAGCAGATCCGTTTTCAGACGTAGTTCTGGTGGATTTCTGGAGTCTGAAGGAACCTTTCCACTGACCTCTGACCTCCTAACTCTGTTCAGATCTGCCTTTGTTTAACTCTCTGTCCTCTCTAACCCCTCTGTGAACGTGTCCCCGTCCTGCTGTCCTCTCGCTCTGTCTCTGCTGTCTAACTGTGGCTGTCCTCCCCCAGATGGATGTGGTCTATACCTTCCAGACGGGCCAGGCGGCGGTGCCCGGTGCCCTGCGCCGCCAGCCGTCCGTCGTCAGCCAGCACAATGACGCCACTGCCGCCAAAACTCTCTCTAGCCCCACCCACGTAGGGCTTAGCTCCTCCTCCTCTCTCACCAACTCGGCTGGGGCTCCGCCCCCTGCTGCTGCTTCCTCCTCCGCCGCAGGCAGTGAGTGTGTGACTGGAGGCCAGCTCACACGGCGCCTCGTCCAGGCTGGACTCTGTTTAATCTGCATGAAACTGCGTCTGTCCTCGGCAGGTGTCTGCATGTCCTCGTCTGATCACAAACTAGACAGGAGGTCAGGAGAGTTTTAGTTCTGAACAAAGATCTCAAACTGAGCCCCAGTAGCTGCTCTGCAGGAGGAAACCACCCAGAAAGACTTTGAGAGTACTGATAGCATCCCTCCAGGGGTCAGAGGTCAGGAGTCCAGGAGTAGAAGGGTCAGAGAACATGCAGACAGCCTCCTCTGCTTCATCTTCATCTCTTTCAGTTTCAGCTTGCTCTCAGCCGTTTCTCCTGCATGTTCTGGTCGTTTGACCTGTGAACTCGTGTAAAGACCTGGTGAGACTTGCAGCCGTCGAGTTGGAAACAGAAGAGAATAAGGCTTCTGATTGGTCGCCCTGCAGGCTAAACGATCCATAAATCCGCTACTCAGAGGCAGCAGCCTGGTTACCAAGATCAGTCTATGGGTTTAAATCCTTCGGGCTCCGCAAGTCTCTCATGGTTTAACATCCAGCAGTGTGTGTGTGTGTGTGTGTGTGTGTGTGTGTGTGTGTGTGTGTGTGTGTGTGTGTGTGTGTGCTCAGCTGCAGCTCTCCTGTGGTTCAGCTTTGAACTGCAGGTTATTAATTATAATGGAGAGTGTGTGCTGGTGCGTATAAATCAGGGTGATCGGCAGCAGCCGCCTCATCAGAGGAAAGGCCTCTGGAGGACAGAGCAGGATTATGTTGGGTTGTGTTATCCGAAGGCTCCCAGTGACCCCGACGGGTGACATGGCTTTGTGACCTGCAGGGGCGCAACCTCCTCTGACTGAGCCTGGGTTTCTGGTTCTGAGGCTCTGGTTGTCATGGTAACCCAACAGGATACAGGCTTCAGGAGTGAAGTTTATGGTCTGACTTGTACGAGGAATCCAACGCCAGCTCAGGTGGAAGTGTGACTGTTCAGAGTTCTTTCTGCTGACCCGGAAAAGAACCGGATATTATTCAGGATTTACCTGAGCCTCCCGTCCCGGTTTGTGGTAAAATGGATGATCCTATTCAGGATCAGGGAGCGCCGCATGTTTTCATCCCAGAGGGAAATTTAAGCCTTGTCCACAGGGAGCCGATCTTTGATGGGGTGGTAGGAATAACTGTATGCTGCCTAGTTGGTGCCTGCGTCCATATTCAGCTGCCTCCAGCATCATAACGAGCATTTTTGGTCCTCTTGTGTTTAAGAATCTTTCTTGGTTTTCCTCCAAAGTTTGCAGTCATCGTTCCTTCGTTGTAATTGTTGTGATCTGTGGTTTTGCATCTCCCTGTCCAGATCCGGATGCACCCCCCCATCTCCCAAACCCTATGAATGTCCCATCAGCCCCGCTGCCTGTTAAAATCAGTGTTATTGCTGTTCATCTTCCTGCTCCTGACGTGTCCTTTCTGTTTGTTTCAGATTAAGGTGGTGAATGCATTCCGTAGTTCCATCTTCGAGATGGAGAGTCCACATTCCCGTAGCTCCATCCATAGTTTCATGGCCCATCCTGAGTTTTTGCCGCATTCTGAGGAGGAGGCGGCGCCTCGGTGCAGCACCATTGAGGAGAACAGCGACGCAATCAAGGAACTTCAATGATCCTCGGCGAAGGAGAAGCACCTGGCAGCAAGGAGCTCCTCCTCCCTCCCCTCCTCTTCATCACCTCCACCAGCTGGGTTGTTGCTCTGAGGAGGGCCATCATGACTCACCCTCTCCTCAGCACACATCCTCGCCCCACGCTGTCTCCATCCTGACTGTGATGTTGTTCAGTTTGTTCCTCCATCACCTCCATCCCATCAGCTGGGGGCGGAGCCTCCTCACCAGGAACATCTGCTTCTCGTTTAGACTCCCTCAGTTCACTTATAGAAATCTTCCTCCCCTTTTCACCTCTGCATGCTGCAGTGCATTGTGGGAAGGAAGTTTGTTCGCTTCCCAACACGGCAGCATCCAGAGACGACCCGCTCTCCGACCTTGTCCCGTCTGAGCCGGGTTCCGTTTCCCCCTACCCCGGTTTATCCGCAGCGTTTGTTTTAACCTGATGCATGTTTTGATTTCCTGTTGAGTCGCATGATGGCCGTGAGTCCAGCGTTTGGACGCGTCTCTGTTCAGAGCTCCATGATCTTCCTGCTTGTCCCACGTTGGAGAACCTGAAGGAACCTGCAGATCTTCTGCTGTTTCGCCGCGACATGGTCGGCTCTGTTGATCACTACCGTCGCATTAAACACTAAGCGTTTCGTTTCGCTCCCCTCTGATGGGGACGCCGGCGCCGATCGGCCCATCTGAGCTGCACCGGATCAGGTTAAACTTAAAGGGGTAGTATTAAGTATTTTCCAGGCACACAGTGCCATTTTATAGCTCAATCAAGTAACTATTGTACCTTCACTTATAAAAGTGCTGTATATATCAAACATGACTTAAAATAAATTTCTTTACAATTTAACTCCTTGAAATTGGGACTCTGTCACTTTTAGAAGCTCTTCCTCTTTCTGACACTTTCCACTTGGAGTCTCTGCTCTGCGAGGAAAAAGCAGCGCTCAGTTAAACTACACACTTCTTCACCCATAGTGGTTGCCAGGCAGATTAAAGGATTTCTCAAACATGCATGAAAGAATCAAGGCAACACTCCAGGTATGTTTTTGATGAAGAAATAACATAACCTGATGTACAGCTCAAAATTTTACATAATACCCCCCCTTTAAAAATTACGGAAAAAATCAGAACTAATTTCAAACACCAGCGTGTTTAGCGTTTGGCCCACTTTTCCTGCTCTGCGTGATGGAGGCCTGGCTGGAGCTCCACCTCGCCATCACAGAAGCCCGCCCCCTCAGGCAGCTGAAAGAAGCTTCCTCTGCTCCCCTGTCATCACACACTAAGGAGTTTAAACATTCAGAGCGAGCTGACTGCAGTACTGATCCGTTGGTTGGATCAATGCAGGAAGTTCACTGGAAGTGGAGCCATGAACAGAGTCAGAATGAGGCTGCAGACACAGACTGCCAGAGCGCAAAGCTTTTAAAGCCAGTAATGGACAGTAGGCTCAGTGTCTGCAGCTACAAGCTCCTGGCTCCCTCGTCGTCAGGCCTTCCTGGACTGCCCAGGTCATTTGTCGCCAGGAGCTCATGGATCGCCCAATGCCAGAAAGTCCTGGGTTTTCCGCCGCCAGGTGCTCTTGGGTTGTTTGCCCTCAGGCACTCCCAGATCGATCCATTGGGCTTTGCTAGATCGTTCTCCGCCAGGTGCTCCCAGATTGCTCGCCGCTGAGCGCTCCTGGAGCTCCTGAGTCGTCTGCCGTCGTTTCGCTTTCCTCGTTTGTCTGATTTTCGATGAGCTGTCAGTGACATCACACGGCCAGCAGCGGAGCCGGCGTCTGCTCATCACCATCACCGTTACCCCGGCGACACCGCTCCGCCCTGCTGTGTTGGACAGGCGTCAGTGTGGAGGCCACACTGAGGTTTATAGGAGACTGATGATGTCACCAGTTGCCCTGTAGAGTTGAATCCACTGTGTCCCCGCCGCTTCCCGCAGCGGCGCGTCCGATCCCTTCAAACAGCCGTCGGCCTCTCCCGACGGAGGCGATGTGCTACTACTGCCATATTTTCCATGACTTGGTTAATCTTTTCCCCTCGACAAGCTTTTTCTAAGTACTCAGAGCCATATTTTCTAGGATGTTGTTTTCCGTCATTATTCCAGAGGCCCCACCCTGCCCTCCGAACACGACCAAAAATCGAGGAGAAACTCTTCAGTTGTCACTGCCGAACCGTGTTTGAAGGACCTCTCCGATGTTTACATGAGAAGCGGTTTGACCCCCCTCATCTGTTCCTCTCCTCAATCTTACCGTTTAACTGAGTAGGAAACCTTTCTTGCATGGTGTTCATATAAAATTCAATGTTTTGTTCATTTTTTACAATTCTTCTGTATTTTTATATTGAGTACTTTTTAATATTTTGCAGATGTATGAATCTGTGTACAGGCTGAGGAGTTTGGTGAGCGTTCAGAACCTGAATGATAGGAATCTGCCGTGGACTCTGTTTTTACAGCTCCCAATGTTCTGCCACGTGTGGCGTCCGAGTCACCTGACGTTAGGGCTCCCAAACCTGCAGTGACTTGTCTACTTCCTGTTGGCTGTTCACTTCCCATCAGCCCCTCTGGCTCCAGTTTGGTTTCTTTGTTGTAATGGTTCTGACTTGGTTTGAGTCCAACATTAAACAGGAATGTATCGTTATTCCTCCAACTTCTGGGTTTGTTTGTTCACTGGATCATGTTGTGTCCGGCTCCAGGCTCCACCCCTCATCCAGAGCTCGGCGCCGGTTGGGTCAGTCATTCGTTTACAACTTCTGTGGGACTCTGGGTCAGAACCGGGCCTATGATAAGGTTGGTGTTTAGACCCATCCACATTTCAGCCTCGTCTCAAACACTCAGTTTGGCCTCTGATCCTTTTCAACACGTAGACGATTAACCAAGTCCAGACGGACCTGAGAACAGAATTCCAGCAAAAACCTGAGCTTAGTGCCGGTAGAACCGGGTTGGCCCAGGTCCAGAGGTTCTTCCAGAACCCAGACTTATCCATCCTGTAAATTCTGGCTGCAGCAGTCGTTTTCCAGTCCGGCGCCTGGTTCTGGAGCCTGGAGCGGGACACAAGGTGCCGCTGCGCTCCATCTGACTTTCAGCCTACTGTGGAGAGGGCGGGACTGTTCAAGCTCTCTGACATCACTTCCTCTTCCTGCTGAACTCCTGCCCCTGACCAGCAGGTGGCGCATGTGTAAATATTGTCCTATAACGACTGAGGCGAACCAGGAAGTGGGAGAGCGGCCAATCAGCCAATCATCACCCAGCATAGCTTTAAGATTGTTCTGCCAAAGTCGTTTCCATCCCCCCCCTCCTGCCCTCCCTCGGCCTGGTTCAGGATTGTCCCTCTGCTCTTGCCGTAGCCTCTGGCTCCGCGGGGTGTCCGGCTGCTTGGACCTCATCCCGGACGCCCCTGCAGCAGCAGAACTTTGTTTTCCATCGTGTAGGAGCTTCTTCCGTTACGACCCTGCTCATCGTCTGCAAAACGAACTGGAACATCACAGCGGGAAGCCACATTTACATTCCGTGTGTATTTATCTCCGATATGTACGAATATATATCAGATTTAAATATGAAGGCAGAAATCCGGTTCTCTGTTTGAACTTTGTTGCAAAAAAGACTGAAAGTTTTAGTTTCTGTAATTACTATGATAGCCAGTTATAGGCGTTGGTGTTATTTTTGTATAAACATGATATCATCTATGTGGCATGCATGACATATATACAGACTTTGGTGGTTTAAAGCAATATGTCCGACCTGGTGCGATTGGTTCCGTCGTGTTCTGTGTAGCCAGAAAAAAACCAACAAAACCCAGAAAAAAGAATCAGCAGCTGTTCAGTATCCGTGTTCAATGTTCTGTGTTCTGCATGTTTTAGTACGGAATGACACATCCCAACTGTTGACTCCACTCACACACACACACACACACACTCACACAGTCAGTCTCCGTAACACTGAGAGGAGAAAACACTGAGCAAACCTGGAATCTCATCTTTCTGTTTCCATCATCCCCCATCACAGCACTCAGGTTTACAGGCTGTCCCTGAACTCATCGCTTACTCTCACCAATCGCATCAATTGATTTGAAAAACTAAACCTCCAATCTCTAGATCAGAATCCAAACTTTCCCATCAGCAATTTGTCGTCCACAAGCTCCAAAAATTAAAATCTGACGTCAGAAATTCAGTTTCTGAAAAATTATCTGCTGCTTTACGTATAAACACGGCTTCAAGATTTGTCCAAAACGTTTCTTTTTCTCCGGTGGGGTATCCGACCCGGCTCAGGTGTCACACCAGATTCTGAGGCGCCCTTGGATCCGGTGTGACACCAGATTAATAGGAACCGGTCTGAAGCTGTAAAACATGACAGACATCCGGACTGTCTGGAACATTTTTTTGTTTGTTTTGTTTTTTTGTTTGTTTTGTTTGTTTGTTTGTTTGTTTTTTGTTTTTTTGCGTGAATGTTTTTACCTCCTCTGCAGCTTCCCGACATCCGTCTGACGCTGAGAGGGAAAACTGAAATATTCCAAGGAATCCATTTCAGCTCAAATTTAAGAGGCCAATGAAATTATTATTATTAGTAGTAGTATTAGTATTAGTATTATAAATATTGTTATTAAGTAAACAAAAGCTGATGCAGTCAGAAATGTTTGAAAAATGTTTTTCAGAATAAAAGCCTGTATTTACTGCTTGATAACAACTCAGATTGTATTTCATTTAAAACTCATCTGGTTCACAGCAGCAGCTTCAGATCTGCAGCGCCACCACCTGGCTGCCACGGCTGCTGCAGACACCTCAGTGTTGGCGCTCAGTTCTGGTTCTGAGCCTCGGTTTAGATTTGGACCAAAACGTCCTGTGCTTCCCCATGCGTGTGTGTGAGTGTGTGTGTGTGTGCGCGACACTCATCCTGTCCGTGTGTCTCTCGTCCTCCTGTTTGCTTCGATCTATGCAACAGAATAGTCCCGTTCTCCACCTGCTTCCTCCTCCTCTTCCTCCCTGTCCGCTCATCTCATTGGTCCTGTGACCTTCGGTTTTCCGTGCAGACAGAAGCACGACACACACACGCTGATGGATGTGCGTGTGTGTGTGTGCACACACTCCTGGTTTTTCTTTTCTCTTTTGTAAGATATGATCATGTGGAATGCCCTGGTCTTAGTGTCATGTCGTTTGAACAAAAGATGATAATCAAGCAACTGAGAACAAGTTGTTACATAAATATATATATATATATAATATATATATAAATATATACAAATCTATATACATAAAAAATAAAGCCATCCAAATTTGAAATAAAACTGTGGGTTTGTGGTTCTTTTAAAGATAAAACAGAGTTTTTAGTTTCTTTGTGATGAATAAATGCTGAGTCACCAGTTCTCCAGAACCATGGTTTGGATCTGCAGTTCTGCAGGTTTGCAGCTCAGTACCTGATGGCTGAATCGGGTATGCTGCAGTTCCTACAGGAGATAAAAGTTACTGCCATCCATCCCTCTGTCCACTCCTCCTTCCCTTCCTGCTTTACTCGTTGAGCCTGTTAGATTTTATTTAATTCAGGTTAAATTAAGTTTCTTCAAACATGGCATTTTTATTGGACTCTGTTTGCTTCCCACTTTGTTCCCTTCTAAAATAATCCTTACAGTAGGTTCAGAGCTGAAGCTTCACTGTTTCAAACTGTTTTTATTCTCCGGTGTGAATACGTTGGTTAATATCCAGGATATTTAAAGCTTCTCTAAGCAGACTGGATTTTGGTTAAAACTGAAAACATTTTCTGTATGGAAGGTCATTACTGCGACTGTCTCTCGAGAGGGTAGAACAGTCGTTCACAATCGGAAGGTTGAAGGTTTAATTCCTGCTTCATCCTGTCATGTAAATTGGGGCGTTGGGAATACTCACAAGCCCCTGATGCGCCTCAGTTTTGGAAATTTTTTCCAGTGAGCGAATTTCTTGTTTACTACATATAATCACAAACAGAACCTTTCCAAAGATTCTGTTGATTCTGTTGTTTCTGTTGATCTGTTGTGATCTGAACCCAACAGCAGTTCAGATCACCTGACCTTAGTGTCTCCTGGTCGACTTCACAGCCCCTTGGGTAGCAACGCTGTTACCTGGTGGGGTATGAGCGGGAAGGATGGCTGAGCATTGGTTTGTTGTTGGACATCTATGAGAAGCACTGAATGTCTAGAGCAAACACCATGTATGAGCAAGAACACTTATGAACCATCTATATCAGGTGGTTCATCTATATCAGGTGGTTCATAAGTGTTCTTTGGTTATTTAGCAGTCGTATCAGACCTGCAGGGTTATGTCTTGGATACTCTGGTTAAGGCAGAGTGTGCAATCTTCTGGTGGTGAGTTAAACATGGTGGCAGGGGAAGCTGCCGGACAGACCTGGTGAATCCAACGGCTGATAAGAGTGAGCTGGGAATGTCTGCTGCAGAATTTGTCTCTTTCCTGAAGGGAGATTGGGAAGATGGAATCTGTATGGACCATGCTCACTACTTGTCACTGCGGATGCGGCTTCCAGAAGCTGTGGCCTGAAGGTTTTGAATGCCTTTTGTGGTTAAAGCCACAGGATTTGCTAGTTGACACCAGTGGTGATGGAAGCCGTGAGGCTGAAAGAGGCTTTTAGGGCTTGACAAGTACCAGTAGGCTGGAAGCACTTTGTTCTGTTGGGGAACAAAAACTAGGGCCTGGGAAGAATTCAGACAGGCTATAAAAATAGACTTTCAGCTGGCATCAAGGAACTTCTGGAAAATGATTCAGCAAGTCAGAAAGAAGAAACTGGGCTCATTGCAGTGTGTGAGGAGGGGAACTGCAGACCCAATCTGAGGATATCGTTGGGCAGTGAAAGGAGCATTTTAAGGATCTCCTCAATCCGGTCACCATGTCTTCCATGGCCTGAAGATAAGTGAGAATGACATCCATCCATTATCCGACACGCTTATCCATAGTGGGGTCACGAGGAATTCTGGTGACCCTCCCCGGAGGTCAACAGGTGACCTCTGGACCTCATTTCTGCTCAAAGCAACACTCCGAGTTCTAGCAGAGATAAACAACAGAGTTGCTACAGACTGTCCTCTGAGGCAGCTGAAAGAAGCTTCCTCTGCTCCCCTGTCATCACACACTAAGGAGTTTAAACATTCAGAGCGAGCTGACTGCAGTACTGATCCGTTGGTTGGATCAATGCAGGAAGTTCACTGGAAGTGGAGCCATGAACAGAGTCAGAATGAGGCTGCAGACACAGACTGCCAGAGCGCAAAGCTTTTAAAGCCAGTAATGGACAGTAGGCTCAGTGTCTGCAGCTACAAGCTCCTGGCTCCCTCGTCGTCAGGCCTTCCTGGACTGCCCAGGTCATTTGTCGCCAGGAGCTCATGGATCGCCCAATGCCAGAAAGTCCTGGGTTTTCCGCCGCCAGGTGCTCTTGGGTTGTTTGCCATCAAGCACTTCCAGATCGATCTCCTATGGGCTTTCCTAGATCTAGGAAGTGGCTGTATTTATTACAATGGCTGTCATAAATACAACCACTGAGGCTGTACTTATTACAGATATATTCTGATCTGTGCAGAGGAAAATAAAACCTATTAATCAGTGAGTTTTATAACAGCTGAAAGGTTGAATTCTGGACTTTGCATTGAAACACAACCTCAATCAGAGCTGAACCAAAG